GAATTCATGCAGCATATCTCTAAGCCATGCATTTCTTATGATTGTTCAAGTTCTCGTCATGGCTTGGAAGGCAGACTAGTCAGTTGTTAGTAGCTGAGATGCATTTTTCAAGATATCTGAAGGCACGCCCTGGACTTGGCATGACCATACAATGTGATTAGATGCCTGTCTTTCCTTCTCTTTGTGACAGCTGGACTGGTTGTATATGGATAGCATGTGAACAAGTAACAGAAGTACCATTATTAATAGCACAGATAAATGCTTCTGCCCGTACGTTAGCCAGTTCAGTATGCTGGAGTTGAGCTGAATGTGTTGGAAAATACAGGTAGAAGTTCCTAGCCAAATATTTGTGTAATAGGAATATTCCCCCCACCATGTAGGGGAGAGTATCTGATCATGAGAGCTTATTGTGTATTCATTTGTGGTAGTACCCACTCTTGGTTAAGCACTTTCCAGATACTTAAGAATGATTATTCCTCCTCCAAGCATTTCACAATTTACAGAGTAAAAAATATTATGCAGGTGGAGGAAGGAGAATAATAACCAACACTTTCCATTTACTTTATGTGGAAGTTGGTTTGCCCAGTGTAGGCTGGTAGAAATAGACCTTCATTACCAGACCAGGTATTTCATTCCCTGGGTCTGCGCAAAAGAAAAGTACCAAATGGACTGGATGAAGATTTAACAAACAAATGGATAAAGCTTTGTGCAGTGATAGGGCCGAGGAACAAATGTAATGCAAGGCTTGAGAAAAGAGATAAAATGGATAGGGGCAGAGTTTGAAAGTGGAGACAAGAGGCCTAAATCTGATATCAACAGAATCAAGGAACAAGGATTACAAAATTAAACCAAAAGGCATAAAAAAAATGGTTTATAGCAGTATTTTTAGTGTTTAAAGGAGACTTCATGTGACATGGTATGACTTAGATGTTAGTATCACTGCTGCAGTTGGCAAGGCAGTTAATATACCATCATTGTTTATTCTCTAATTGTTTCCTGTACTGGAAAGATGCCATTAGCTGTTAGGGAGGTTCCTCCTCCTCTGTGTGGCTATGCTCTGTCTGCTTAGCCCAGCATCTACTGGGTTTAGAGTTTTATGCCAAACATTTCACATGGGAAATAAGCTAAATTAAAGCAAGAAAAGTTCAATCATATAGTGGAATGATCCCTATCACTCCTACTTATATCAAAAAAGTCATGTTAAGCATGACATAAATCTTGTTAGTGAGTTGTGTGATCACTTGTGATCACATTTTCAGTCAGAAGTTTAAATAGATTTTATGCTATAAAACACTGGGCTAAATTCATCCTAAATAATTCTCCTCTCTTAATCATTTAGAAATATTATGTTCTCTGAAATATTCCTCATTTTGTGAAAGTTTAGCAAACGGTTTTTCCTTTTGACTTTGTCTTTCCTGAATTCCCTACAGCTTATTCCTATCTGACTAGGAACATTGAATGTTCAAAATAATATTCCTAACGTTCCTTGAACTATATTATTCCTACCTGGCAACACAGAGCTTCTTTGAATGCAGCCTTAAACATCATTAACTGTTTTCTGAACTGTTGTATATTGGACTGCTGTCGGATTTGCAGCCTCTCTTACCCTTCAGTCTCTTGTTCATTCTTGTTTTGCAGCTTTCTCCCTCAGATTGTTTTCCCTCTAGATGTGCTAACTGCCATTTTTCCTATTTGAATCTTGTGATACTGATGAGTCAAAGTCTCAGTCTAAGTAAAGTAGAACAACTGTTCCGAAAGCAGTAGTCTGTGCTGATTTATACCAGCTGAAGCTTTGTCCCCATGTTTCTGATTCCGTCACTATTATTAGAATTATGGTAACACCCAGATGTATTAAGTATCCTTCCAATAAAATGATATGACCCAATCCTTGCCTCTGAGAGCTCCCAGTTAAAAAGATAAACCACAAGCCAAGAGAGAGACAAGGGAAAAAGCACCGAGTCAATTTAATTTAGTATATTTTAGTCCCTGTTCTGAAGAATTTACCAGAGACGACCTGCTTCAGGACAGTCTGTGAATACTATGAATTTGCTCTCCCTTTTTTAATTTGTTAATCACCTCAAGATGTTCCTCTTCCTACAATTTAGCACTGTGGCAGTTAATAGTATATTTTGACCCTGTTGCTTATCGCAATTTTGTCAAATTTCAATTCAAATGATTGTTACATCCACATTGATTTAACTGAACTTATAAACGAATATTTGAAGGAATCTGCACCAAACAATTGATACGAATCCAAAAGTTTTCCAGCCTTTTGATTGTCTGAATTTTTGTAATGTCATTGAAAATGCTGTTGTTTTACTAACAGTTTGTTTTTTTTTAATCAAATCCTCATCATTATTTATTGCTTTTGAACAACATCTCAGTTTCCTGTGTTAGTGCTTTGGAACAGGCTCCCTAGCTGCACAGATCTTTGTGCAGTCAGGTTACGTGTGTGTGTATTGTGTCTGTCTATCTGTTATTTCCCATACACTGCTGTGTCTCTCATCATCTTCAAACTTGTTGATCCACTTTAGACTGAATGACTATGGGATAGAAATCTCAAAGCTATGTTTTTGTTTTTTGATTTTTTTTTAATTTCATGAAAATAAAGAGCTATGGATATGGGAAGGAGACTCAGCCACTGTTCCCACTAAGGCAAAGGCTGCAGTATGAGGCCGCTCCTAGTTAGACAGCAGAAAATCCACACAAGAATGCCCCAAACCCATAAAGGAAGCATAATTTGGGGCATGCTTTATATTAGATACTGTAAGATTCAGCCCCAAGACAGATTCACAGGAAATGAGCTTCATTAGCTCCTCTGGTCACAGAGTGAGCATGTTTTTGCTTGCAACATTTGTTCCGTTACTGTGCTAGGGATGGGTGTTAGATACAGGGATGGTAAGTGCCAGGAACATTCTTTCCGGTTTTGAGGATCACTAATATATCTGCTTTTCTTCAAACTTGTATTACCTCCCTGCTTTTAATCACGAGCAGTCCAAGATTGGTTGCTACTAGCTAATACTTTTAGATACGCATTGTCTTTAATGATAAGCTGTATGTGTTGATATTTTCTAATTGAAAATTACTATTTTTGTTCAGCTAATGCTTTGTCTGTGGTGTTCATGTGTAGATGTGGATGCAAGAGAGGTGTGATCTAATGGGCGAATAGGGGGAGTCAAGATCTCCTCTGAATTCTTAACCTACCTTTTTATATTGCCTCAGTCTGGCTAGGGGAAGATCACTTTCTCTGTCAGTGCCTAAGATTCTCCACCTGCCAAACAGGGTTAATTTTGTCCTTCTCTGAATGTTGCTACTTCTGAGGAAAACTGTGCAAGAGAATTAACTCTCTAATGTTTTACATTATTTTCAGTTAAAAAAAATCCTATAGTGTTCTTGGTTAGATAGCAAGAACCAGGCAAAGGGGAAAAAAATGTAAATAGAGAAGGAAAAGAGGAAAAAAACCCAGTAAAGTTCCTTTTCTTCTTCTCTTTCTTTAAACACCAAAGTGCCACTGAGCCCAGAGTTGAGATCTTTCATAAACTGCCACAAAAATAGTCATGTTAAAGAAGAAAACAATTTATTAAAGCGCTGGGGTCATTTTCTCTGCTGTCTTTTGATGTCTTTCTCTACAAAGGAACAAAGAAAACTAGAAAATAAACTAAATGTTCATGCAACCTCAATGGAAGCAGAAAATGCTTGTGCTATGTGGCTATACATAACTAGGTGCTAAAGTATTTTTCAGATTTATACCTCTAAGAACTTATCAGGGAAGCACATCTCCTCAGCCTTGAGTCCAATCTGCTAGCCAGGCAACATGATTTCCAAGTTATTTCCTTGCAGTACTAATAGTTGTAGGGCACTGTCTGCTCCAGAACTGCCTCTGTCAGGGTTTCTCTAGGCTTATGCTGAACCTTCAGGATCCTGGGTGTTGAGGGCTTTTTTGGGTGTGCTGAAATCCCTTCCCAACCCTTCCTTTGTGTGGTCAGGCTCTGTTCTCCTCAGCTGCCCTTTTTATTTGTACAGTAGCTTCTCCTGGTTTCCTGTTCTGTCCCTGTGGAGTTCACAGTAGGGCAGTATGCTTTGTAGCTGAATCCAGAAGCCATGGTCCGTGTCAGCTTCCAGTCTCCCCATCCTTGCCTGGAAGGCAGCCAGGATCTCAGCACAGCATGGAGACAAAGGCCTTTTTGGACGTCCATTATCCCCAAGAAAAACATCTATGACCTTTCTTTAGGAAGGTCTCAGCCCAGCTTTTGCTGATCAGACTTTGTTACAGGCATCCATGTTTGCCGTTTCTTGGGGGTGATAGACCTCTTGCCCACGCATGTTGAGGGCAGAGATTAAGACTGTATGTTCTGCAGACTCCAGGATCATAGTGATTTTATTAAGAAGAAAAAGAATTTAAAAGAAATAGTATGCATAGTATCAAACAAGGCACAGTGAAGTGTGACCTCTGAATAAGAAGGGGAGCAACAGACTAGACCAAGTTTTGTTTTAGTTTGATTTGTTTTTTTTTTCTCTGCTTTGTTCCAGACTTTGGCATTTATACCAGCTAGTTATTCAAAATCTGAAAGCTGGGATCAAGATAGAGCTTCAGGGGAGGGAGAGGTTAACAAGGATTGGAGAGCTCAAAGGGATCTTGTCAGTGAGCTCTGGTTAGGAAACAGGCCTGTTTTGGCTCCTGCACTTCCTTTTCTCTCTAGAGCTCTGCCTGTCAGAAACGTCTTCCCACACACAAGTGCCCTGCCATTTGCCAGAGAATTGCGGGGGAGAGGGGCTTTTCCTGTCTTTATGCTGAGACTCAGCCAGCCCTCAGACTGTGGTTTTCTGTGGAGCCTGGAGCCCACTCTCTGTGGCTTTGTGTATTTTTCACCAGAGAAGAAACTGAGGACAAACGCAGTGAAGTGCACTGCTACCAAGGTCATTCTGAGGTGACTGGTGGGTGCTCAGCTATTCCCCTGTCTTCTGTCATTGCTCTGTAGCCACTAAACTGCATGGTTATGGCATTGCCTCTTTGCCCTGGGAATCTGACTAACGTTGAGAAAAGACAAGGCAGAACTCCCAGCAGGTTGCTCCTTTCTAAAAAAGAGTTGAGTGTTTTGCAGAGCTCACACAGGGAACAATTCCTCGCTCCTCCCTTCGCCAGCTCCATTGCTGAGTTCTCCAGTGTCTCATAACATGCAGATTGTTTTATTCCATTTATCAAATCTGCAGCATGCTTAACTCCCCACCTGCTTTAGGCATAGAAACATTTTTTGTTCTGTGATATTACTGTGATTTCCTTTCTGTCAGTTGACAGCCTAAAATCCCTTATTCAAGGAGGTACCTTAGAGCCTCCTGTTACTCTGAGCACCTAGATGGCTGGACTGAAGAAGTGGCATTGTAACATATTCCCTATAACCTTTTTCTTTCCTATGACTGTCTCAATTCCAGCTCCCACACAAAGAATACCTTGGCAAAGTAGATGCATAAAATGGGTAAAAGCTATAAAAGCTATGTTTCTCTGAGGATGGGACCCACTGCATGATCTGGTTGGGGATGGTGACCTCTTCTTTTTTTCTCCCTCTGGAACAGTATCATTCTGTGGCAGCAATGAGCTTGTTTGCCTTCCTAGAAGCTAAGCCCAGTGTGCAAGGGTTCAGAAGCTAGTCCCATTGTGCAAATTTAGCTTTAAAACTACTTCACTGATTTGATCACTAAACTCTTTTTGTTTTTGCTTGGGAAGGTCCCTGGAACCCTGGAGGTTTCCTTCACCGGGCAGATATTCTCCCTTACAAAAATGTCACCCACTCCGCCAGCTCTCTCAGTGATATTCAGAGGCACACTATGGTATTCTTGTTTTCTTTTTTTGCCAGGCTCTGTTTGTCAACCACCCGCAATCCAGCACCAGCCATATATCTATGTCGGCTGCTTCTGCTGCCCGCAAGACATCAAGTACCACTTCCAGTATCCAGAAGGCAGCCAGTGTGCACAAAGTGATGCCATCCCAGAGTATGCCTTCTCAGCTGGTTCCAAAGCCTCCAGCAAACCACAGGCAGGCAGTGGTCAGAAAGGCTGCAACGCAGAGGATTTCCAAGTAAGTTTTATCTCTCCCATCAAAACCAGGGAGTTGACACTCATCCCCCACAAAAGGAATCTGGGAGAAGAACCTGTCTACAAGTGACTCAGGCACAGATCTTTCTGGCTATGCTATCCAAGATCAAATCTCAGAACACCTTGACTAATGTAAACTGCAGTAGGTGCTCACTTTTCCAAAGTTTCATGTTTTGCAGCAGTAAGGTTGGTAAGTAAGGTAAGCAGGACTGTAACATCATACACACAGGAACTGCCAAACTGAATCAGAGGAGTGTCTGATCCAGGGTGAGATTCAGTTACCTAAATGCAAGTTGTTAGTGCCATTTTAGATGCCCAGGGCTGTGCCATCTGGCCTCCAGCTGCTGCTCCAGATGAGCACAAGTCTCCTGTAGGTCTTGTGTTTTTTTGTCTGCCAGTCCCATTCAGATGTCTCAGATAACTGACAGCATACAGTATGGTGCTTGACACCTTTGTTTAGGCACTTGAATCACCGCCACATGTTTAATCCCTGATGGGGGCTAGAATCTGCTGGGTCAGAAGAAGCTGCCAAAAAAAATTAGCCTTAACAAGCTAATCTACCCCTAAGCCAAGTTTCCCCATAAACCCAACACATAATGATCGACTTATGCCTTCAAGCACAAGTGTTTATTTCATTTAAAGTGTTTGTATTCTGCCTAACTTATCAATAGCTTTCCTCATTATCTGTAGACATACCCATCCTTATCTTAACTTTTACTAAGCTTTTGGTTATGGTTCTTGCCGTTCTAAGGTAGAGGGCTTTGATGTATGTTTATTTTTAAAAACAAAATAAAGCACTCAAGTGTGCTTCATGAAGTGTTGCTTACTTTAAGTTTGCTTCCTTTCTGCTTCTTGGAGTGTCTTCTCTTTTGTGCATTATAAGAGAATGTGAACAAGAATTCAATTTTTTTTTTCTTATCTTTACCTTTCATTAGTAGCTCCCTCTCATGTCTCTGTTTATCTCCTCTTGGTCTAAAGCAATTCTGTCATTTAAATCCTTCATCAGGTTTTTCCTTGTATATCCTCAGCCTTGTTTCATCCCTGAATACTGAAGGAGAAAAATTGCATTCATAACTTCCTCCCTTATACTCCATGACCAGAAGAGCTGTCAACCTTTCTGAACAGGTTTCTGTGAGGTTCCCTGATTCTGCCTTCCCTCCCTTGGTTAAAAGGGAGGAGGCTTAATAAAAAATTAGTGAGGAAAGGCCTTGTGAAGATGGGCACAGTCAGTGTGTGGGGGTCGAATCTGGAACTGCAAGGCATATTTAAGGAGCTTGGGCAGAACCGTATTGGAGAAGCTCATATACTTCCTGCCTGTACTCTTACTGTCTTAATAAACAGCACACTAAATTCATTCCCCCAAACTATTTAAAAAGAAAACAAGATGTTAGTAGACTTTGTCAACTCAGCAAGTGCAGATTTGAACATCAGATCTGGCAGGTATACGCTGGTGGATTTGCTATCTGATTTCTTTTATGCTGGGTGGCTCATGTTAGTACAGGTGACAAGCTGTGTCAGTGGGTTTCTCTGCTGGGCAGTAGGGATGTGTATTTGAAGATGCCGGTGTGTTGTGCTCACTTCTTGGCAGAGGAAATGTTTATCCTTGCGAGATGGAATTGCAGCTCCTTGGACAGACTTTACTTTGCTGCATTTTTGTGGTTTCTGCTCTGTGACAGGCAGGAGTGTGGGAAAACCGGAAAAAGTTCAGCACCAAAAATGCACAGAAGGGGGAAAAAAAGCAAAAGATTCCTTCAGAATTTCAGAAACCTAATCCAAGTATTGAAGGCTGCAAGGAGCCACTCCGGAAATACTTTCCAAGTTGCCTTTCAGACTCCAGCACAGGGCTCCGAACCCTTTTTTGCCATTCATGGGATCTTGCAGTAACATTTTTTCACTTACATGGAAAAAAGCAGTGCCCAGCTATTCTTCCAGCATACTGAGAACTGATCCTTTGAAAACTACTGTGTCTCAGTCTAATGTAATCCATCCATTGTTGTCAGGAAAAAAACAGAGATGCATCAACAGAGGAGAGTGAATGGAGAGAACCCTCTGCCTCAAAGGAATAAAGAGATGAAAAAGCTGCCTTACATGCTCCAGCTTGTTCTTTATCATCCCTGGTTATTCTGTACAGGGTATGCTCTGACTCTGTGTGTAGTCGACTTTTAAAAAACTTGAGTGGCAGAAATCCCACCATTTGCTATAGAAGACTATTTGAAAGTCTAAACAACATTATTATTGGAAACTTTCTCCTGATATGCAATCTGAATTTATCCTTTGTTTCATACTGCTGTACCTTGTTCCTCCTTCCTGAACCACCCTAAACACTTTCCCTTGCAAATACTTTCCATCTCTTGAATATTCTTCTACTTCTTGGAGATTCCTAGTGTTGCTTAGACTTGTTGAGGTTTTGTTAACCTCAGATAGTAGTTCCACCTGCCAAGTCCTTAATTGTCTCTTGAATTTACTGTATTTTCTTCAGTTTGTCAGAGTGCTTGCATTGTGGCACCCAGAACTGTAATTTTCCAGCATGGGACTACTGTATCCTTAGGTTATGACATGGCAACTATCCCTCTCCGTAAAATCTAAGGTAGTTTTGGCTTTTTGGCTGCTTCATTTCTCTGTCAGGTCATCTTTGATTTGCTACCTGCACTCACCCCTAATTCTTTCTGGCTGTTTTCCTGACCTCTTTCCTCAAAGAAACTCTCAGTGCTATATATTATTGCCACAAGACTTATGCTCGCTGAAACTAATCCCATTTAGTTCATTCTGATGTTAAAGCTCTTGTGCCTCATTTTTTTTCTTAAATTCCTGTAAGCCAGAACTTATTTCTCTATCTGCTCTTTGCACCTCCTGGCTGTTGTTGAACATCTTAATAAAAATCTTCTTTTCAAAGTTGTTTGTAGAATTCCTCTAGAGACTGGACTGTGAAGACAAACTAGAGTCAACTTTGTCTTTTTGACCTATCTCTTTCTTGCATGCATTATCATTTCTCTCCTAGCCAGCACACATGGCCTCCAGAAGAAGAGGGAAAGAATAAGAGAAAAATCAACTACAAACAGGATGAGATGCTAAAGATGAACATTACTTACTAATTCAAAAACTGTCTTGTAACTTGGACACTTCACTGGGTTAGAACATAAAGGAAAAAAGTAATGGAACAGCCAGACAATTCAGTCTTTTCTTTTCTATTCCTGTTCTCTCTTGTTTTCTCACCCTCTCAACTTGTAAAAGGTGGTAGGTTGACTTTATAATGGATTGTGTCCAAAGCAGACTCCTTGCTTAAGCTAACAGCGTGGAAAACTGGGGCCCACGTTAAGGTGTGGAAAAAGACTACGGCAACTGGGAGAAATTGTTTAATATGTAGCTCTATTCAGAAATGTAGCCCCATAAAATGGTCTCACCGGGCTCCATATTTTTGATTAAATGTGCTCAGATTACAAGTAGAAAGATAGTTTTTGAACAGCTACCACCACAAACTCTTCTTTCTTTCCAAGAGTCAGGTCAGGTCCTTTCCACTGTGCATGTTGCCACTAGTATTGGCAGGACTCTGAACCAAGTCATTCTATTCCTGATGAGACCTGTTGATAACTGAAAGCAGAATTTTGAGACAGAGGTCACAGAAATAGCATTTTTAAGACATGAGATGAAGCAGATGTCCCCAGAAACAGCATTTAGTGTACAGGACCTTCATATTACAAATGACAACATACAAAGCAGAAAAATATATTAGCTCTGCTGTCAGAACCCAGAGTGCATTTATGCAGCTGGTAGATAGAAAATCTTTCTGCTTTTAGGAATGACTAAGTCACAGTAAGTAAAAATTTCTGCACTGTCATTCCCATGATAATTTTTCAGAGAACTGTTCTCTGTAAGTCAAGAACTATGACAGCATCAAGCAGAGAAAGGCCTTAGACAGGTTGTGAACATAACTGTCAGTCAAAGAAAAGATTGTAGAAAAATTCAGCTGTTAATGCTAGGCCACTATATACAAAGAGAGGAAATACCCAGTAGCAAAAACAAGCGCTCAGGTCAAGATGTTATAAGGGACAGAGCCCTGGAAGAACACTGAGTTTTCCAACAACAGGCTGGAACATCAGAAACTATCATGAGTGTTGTTCAACGTGGCATAATTTCATGTACTGAACTTCTGTGTACGTGTCATTCCCAACATCTCCATTCAGGAAGCCTTTCAGAACAAGTACTCCCTTTAAGTCACAACACCACGACACAAATTCTTTCCACCTTGTTCTTCTTTTGTATATTTGCTTTGCATGGCGCCAGCAGTAGAAGATCCAAAGTTCTGCTCTATTGTAACCAGTACAGAAATAGGGTAGAGGTGACGCATTTCTCCAGGGTTCAGAAAGTCCATCCCACAGTTGGGTGGCATCCTGCAATCAGATATGGAAGTAGCCAGCTGGTTTAGGACAGGCTAGCCAAGCCTGGCAAATGTGCCAAAAGTAGAGGAATGACCACAGAGAGGGTTCTGTAAAACACTGTGGTTCTGATTTGTACACTGTCTTCCCCATATGTGGTTATTCACTGACACGTGTGAAGTGTCTCAAGTGAGCTGGGCATATCACACATACAAGCTAAGGGCTCACTGCGAGGAGGACAGATAGCAGGAGAGAAAGCATGTACCTGTTAGTGGGACCCCTTTCACTCTCTGCTACCACTGCACTGAGGCACACTTGTTTGTTAGCTCCTGAGCATTTGGGTTAATCATGCTGCCTGACCCTGGGATGTTTTTGGCAGCAATAGCAGTGCATCGGAGAGAGGTGGCTTGATGTAACACCCTGACACAGCTGGGCTTATGAGACCTGCAGCTCTTAGCCCCTGGCTAGCCTCAGATCATACACACAGATACACATGCAGAGATACCCTCTCCAAGAGCAACAAAGAGGAGCAAGCCTCCCTGGCTCTGTTCTTCACATCTGTTGCTGTCCTCTTGTCAAACCTAGGCTTTGGGTGATATAAACTTGTTAGCGTCAGTGCTGTTCCTCCTGGCCCGCTAGATTCATTCACAGCATCCTAAACAACTAGGTTGTTACAATAAAGGTATTCAAAATTTAGTCAGGCAAATATGATTTCTCTGTCATCTGTGAAAAAGAGCATCCTCCAAATTTGCAGTCTGAAGTTGGGCAGTTTAGCGGTGGCTTAGTGCCTAAATGAAAAAAGTCAGTGACAATTTCAAGGAGAGGTTAGATGTATAAGAGATAAAAAAGGCCAATGAGAGATATTTAAGTGGAGTGGACAGTGGGGAAAGGCTGCTTTTGTGAGTATTAAAGAGGAAGAAATGGAGAGCATGGCAATGGTTTGCACTGGAGAAATGAAAGGAAAAATGACACATTAAAACCAGAAAGTGAGAAAGGCAGTGGGATTTTAGCCAACCCAAGAAGGAAGAAAGCAGAAAGGGATTAATTCATTTTAAGCAGTGAATATGTTCTGGTACTGGAACTTCCATCAGAATAGCAGAGGGAACTTGAGGGGTGAGCTAAGATGGAGTGATGAGAGATCTAGGACACAGAGGTAGACGTGAGAATAAGCTGTGTGGAGGTACTAGTTGAAACCGCAAGAGTTGAGATAAAGTGTGGGTAGACAAAAAAGAAGGGGACAAGTCTACAGAGGGAAAGGGATTCTCTAAAGGTAAAGCACACTTAAAGGTCAAAGCGTAAATGTTCCCTGTTGATTTTTTGTTGTATGTGGTGATATTCTTGATGACATTTTCAACTATTAGTCTTTCATTTTACCTACAGAAGGGTGAGCTGGATTTCACCCAAAGTCATGCAGCATTAACAGCATAGGCAAGCTAATTATGAGCATGTAATGTTTATGCAAGAGGCATAAAGAGTCCATCTGGATTCTCAGCTCCCAGAGGGACCATGCAGTATCAGCAGCAAAAGAAAGCATAAGTACAAATCCGAAAGTCTCTCTAAGAGGCAATAAAAATAGAAACAAGCACAGCATTTGACAATAGCATTTCAAATTATGGCTGCGTTGAAGTAAGGGGCTATGCTTTGCAAATATCGTATCAGAACCCTTCTCCTTTCCCATCTGGACTCCAATTTATTTCACTCACATCCAACTGTGAGAAAATACAAGAGTCCCTCACTGGCCTTTCAGCTGCCAGGAGCACCTGGCTTACTGGCAACTTGCTGACTTTGAAATTTGAAGGCCAAAGGTTTCAGACAGCATTATAGAAACTGCACGCGTGTGCCTGGGTCTGTTAGTCATCAGGGTCTCACGTGGGGATTGAAGATTACAGTGCAGGGAAGAGTGGGGAGTAACTCTGTATAACACAGCGGAGTTGAATGAGTGGAGGAATAAGGATTGTGGCAGAGAGAGAGACAGGAGTGCTAAGCGCAGAAGTCTGGATTGATCAGAACAGTGCCAGGCAGGAAGGAAGAGTGGCAAGAGGGATAAGGGAGGAGAGGACAAATCAGGAATAAATGGATAGATTCTATATATTTTAAGGACAGACTAGATCCTGTTGTGACTCCTCCTGTGAGTAAACCCATTTTAATGTAGGAAGAGATGGTCTCATTTTAGTGATAAATCTCTGTAACACAGGAAGTGCAGTTTTACTCCACAGAGTACAGTTTTACTGTATCTCAAATGTTGAGCTAAATGCAGGAGAATTTGCATGAAGTATCTTCTTGAAGACTGGCACTGGGTTATTGAAGACTAAATGCTTCCTGGGGGTTGCAGCGGCCAAGACAAGTAAGAAATCCTGCCTCAATGAGTTGTGTCTGTTGAGACAAGATGCAGGTACAAAGTGTACATTTGAACGTAGCATGTTTTGCCAGCCCCCTTGTGTGCAATTCTGTTCTGTAGGTTGCTTAATCGTTTTGCTTCAAACCACTGGAGTAAGGTGATAACAGCATTACTAGTTGTGTTGTGCTTTGGCAGTCCAATGTAATTTCCCATCTCCTTTATCCTCCAAAATCAGCTTCCAAGGTATGTGGAACAACTAAGTGCTTTAGGCACACTGAAGTCGTGCTGGTGGCTGTGTGCTTATATGTCTCCCTCAGCCTTCTTGGGGCTGTTTGCTGTCACTGCCCGTTTCATGCCGTGTTCACACACAGCTTCATAGCTACAGTCCTAGTGAGATTATGTAAATTAGAACCCTCAATTTTTTGTTCAAGACCTTTATTCTTCCTTGGTATTTCCCTTCTCATCTCGGTCTAATCTGACACTTTTGCCTGTCAGGGTGACCTCCACTGAAAGGCAGCTAAATGGATTCCAGAACAGCCTTAACAGTGCTGCCTCCTGTGAGCCAGGGACAAATTCCACAGGTGAGTGCCAGTCCTGAAGCACGGGAAGAGGGGGATGCTGGGATGCTTTCATCTTTCTTAAGAACTGGCAGGGAAAAAACTAACTTCTCAGCAAGAAGGAGAAACACAGCTGCCTGCCTTGCATGTAGTGCTTTCTAGGTAACAGCCTGGGATCAGCTGCGTATTTTTTTTTTGTAGGGAATTTATTTCTGCTGAGAGTAAAAAGACTAAAATCAAAGGAGAAAAGTCTGAGCTTTATAGAGCTGGAAGAGGAAGATCCCTAAAAACGTGGCTGGGAAAAAATTTGGCTAAAATGGCCCCACTTTGCTTTAGGCTTTGGCTCAAAGAAGCTCTGTTGTTTTGAGTTTGGCCTTTAATAAAGGGCCAGGACATTCTTTACATTTTTCTTTGGTCTTGCAGAAAACCCCCTTAGTTCAGAAAGACTTAATTGAGACTTGTGAATCAGCTACATAGTGGAGTCAATCAGTAGAGGTAAAAGCTCTCAAAGGAAAATCAATGAGACCTATAGAATCAAGTCTTTGTCCTTCCCTACTGATTACTTCATCCAGAGAGGGTTCTCTGCTGACATGGTCTCAGGAAATGAGGACCTAGTCCATTTTTCATGGATGCAGAACTATTTCTGCAGTAGATTCTTGTCTTGATGAACCCAAATCATGTGCGGTGTACTGCCCAGGGTAACTTGTGGTGATCCTGTAATGGAATATATAGCCAAATTACGCTGTAGAATGCTTTGAAAAAATTATGTTTCTGACCTCTAGTTTTGCTGTGAAAACCCTGAAAACATGACTTGAGTATCACTAATACAGTGATTTCTATTTGTGGTTTCACAGGCTGAAACAAAAGTTTGCGCAGGAGTGAACTACCCCATTCATCTCTTGGATATTTAGCTCTGAAACTTAAAGATGACGTTTCCAGTATTAACGTCAGTGATTTTATTGCTGATTCTCTAGCACAAACATTCAGCTAATGCACATATTATACAATTCCAAACTGCCTCCCACACCTTACCACCTGCCAAAAACTCCAGCTATCCTACCAGAAATTTTATAGGGTGAATAGCCGTGTAGTCAATAAAAAAGACCCTACAGCACATTGGAACATGACTCTGTAAGAATGGAGTATAATGGGATTATCAAAATAAATAAAATAAGGTCAACATTGTAGTGTATGTACAGTTGAGGCAAATGTTCTGGTCTGCTATATAGTTCAATCAAGTTTTTAGTGCAGTATGTAAAGCCAGGTTACACATAGGTTTATCAGTAAATGTAAAAATGTAGTTTTCAATATATGATCAACCTGATTTGCTGAGTGGACTTACATGAAGATGTTTGTGTGCCTTCTTCCTCGCAATTTTCTGAGCTCTCTCATAGTTGCCACCCTTTAATTTCTAACCTTTGCAGGAGATTCACTGCCTCTGCTCTGGGTACTGTTGCTCATACATGTGTATGCAATAACTGTAGGCAGTAGCACTTTTCTATCCTTCCCTGTTTCTGTGCATGTGTGAGGACTGTTGACAATATTGATGATAGAGAGCAACAGCCAGAGAAAAATACAAGGCTAGGTAACAACTACAAAGGTAAGGGTAATCACCCTATCCAGGGATACTTAGCATCCTGTGAGGACTGAGAACTTTGCCTCACGTTTTTTTTTTTTCTGTAGGATTGTGCTAGCTGCACTGGGCTAAACTTATCCTCTCTGAATCTGAAAAAAAGCATCGAACCTGCCATTTAACTGAGAGTGATAGGGCTTAAATAGAGCCCTACTTTGAGTAGGGGTAGCCTAACAAAAGCAGGATCTAGTGAGTAGGTCACTCAAAGCTTCCTTATCCTTAGGAGACAAATATAGCTCCAGGTATAGTGCTAAATATTGCAGTGATTGGACTAAGTAGAGCAAAATAATGTTTATTCTTGGAAAATGGGGGGAATGATATTTTCTTCAGCTTTGCACCAAGCCACTGGTATGCGTCAGAGGCTGCTGTGCCCAGTCTGTGTGTCTCAGAGACTACTCTGGTGCTTCCTGCAGGAACAGCTGTTTTTCTTCTTCACTCTCTCTATTGATTGCTTACAATAGGACCTTGATTTCCCTCATCAGCAGCTTATTTGGGGTTACTGTGTCACATGTACTAGTATCCTAGATACCAACTAGAGAGACTCATAAAGCAGATTACAGAATAAATTGCAAGAATTTAAAGACAGACCATGAAAAGTTGTGGAGCTAAAAGAGGAACCAGGCAGAAGCTCTGCATAAAAACACACATAAATATTCAAAAATGTCTGCAAAGCTTGAATAGACCTTCATTTAATAGAAGCCTGTGAGACAATTAATTTGAGAGTAGACACAACCATTTCATACCACTGTATCAGGCAGGTTTTGTGAAGAAAACATCCTGGGAGAATGAGGAAGCCATTTGACCACCATAGGCCTACCCTTGCTCCCTGTTAGACTGGGCCCTCGTGTGACTTTGGAGAGGTGGGAGAGGCTAGTAAAGTAACCACTGGGCAGTTCTGCTTGTATATCTGCCAGCGTGGAGCTATATCGACACAGATTTTGGAGCTGAACCTCATCTCTCACCATTTTGTGCTCTAGAACCTGCTTTTTGATGAATGTTGGCCCTTTTAGTCCTTCAACTGGGTGAAAAAGTGATACCTGTAAAACAAGACCACGGTCTGTTCAAGTTAATGGCAAAGAATCTGATGTTGCACCAAGATTTCACGGAGTGGTTCGCAATGTCTTGCTAATATATCTGCTTCCAGCATTTATCTGTGGGATGGTGTAGTGCACAGGATTTGGCCTGGGCAGGTGGGCATAACGCCATAAAAAACACCCATATTTTTCATTTTCCAAGTCTTTGGAAGTTGACTGTCAAATCGTATTTGCCAGATCCAAAGCTTTATCCAGCCATTTCAGATCCACTGGCACAGTCATAGGGTAGAGAAAGAGAAAGACTAGTATGGACTGAGCCAGCTTAAGGTAATAGTAACCTCTCATGCTATTAGCCCATTCTTCTTCTCATCTCCTCTAACAGCCTCTCCGAGGAATAGTAGATAGTGGGGCTTTGCAGACAATAAGCGTGAAGGTGTCACAAACGATGTAAACAAAAGTGAGGATAATACTCAAAGGAAGAGAGAGTCGGGCAGTATGGAAACTTTTAACTAGATTGTTCAGAGGGCAGTTCACAGAATCATTTAGGTTGGATGGGACCTCTGGAGATCATCTAGTCCAACCTCCCTGCTCAAACAGGGTCCTCTAGAGCATATTGCCCAGGATCACATCCAGACGGGTTTTGAATATCTCCAGGGAAGGAGACTCCACTACCTCTCTGGGCAACCTGTTCCAATGCTCTGTCACCCTCACAGTGAAGAAGTTTTTTCTCAGGTTTAGGTGGAACTTCCTGTGGTTCAGTTTGTGCCCATTGCCTCTTGTCCTGTTGCTGGGCACCACGGAGAAGAGGTTCACCACAGAGAAGAATACAGTTGTAGATACTGTTGAGCAGTGGGCTTAAGCTCTTGAGGACAGATCTTTTGAGATGAAATAAGAGATAGAATAAAAGTCAGCATTTCTGCAAAGCAGCCTAGGATATAGGTGCAAGTGGGAAGGCAGAGATTCTCAGGAGTACCTACAGACAGGAAGGTGTAAAGAGCTAAACTTGTAAGCTCACTTGGGGTTTATGTGTAGGGTTTGAACAGACAGCTTCCTCTGTCTGTCTGAAGTTTGATATTAACAGGATTTATTCTATTAAAGAAATACTAAGAATTACTACCTGCAGGAAGCATTCAAAAGACTTCTGATCTGATTTTTCACTGATGTGGAACACCCACAGTCGTTAGTGTACTCGGGTGTCTGCCATTCTGAAAGATAAGCTATGGGACAGCCATTAACACATTGCTTTTTTATCCTAAGCTACTTTGAGGGTCCCTTAGCATTACTCTGATTGTTTCCTGCTTCATGGAATTTAACAATTCAATCAGTATTAGTGAATGAGGGCGATGAAAAATTGAAAAATCCTCTCTGTTTTTCAAGTTTCCTTCACTAATAGCTTCCTGAGTAACAGCTAAGTATTATGGTGGGTTGTTCAGTTCCAGGATGGCTTTATGAGGATCTGTGTTTGATATGGCTAGTTCAGATGATTCAGTAAGGAACCTAAGGGCTGGTCAGTTTTTTTACTCTCTATGTTAATTAACAATGTTAGGCATATGGAAACACTTTGCCACATCTTGCTATTTTATTTTTTGTTCCTTTGTAGTGGCATTAGGTGAATAATGCATGAATTTTTTTTCTCAAGAAAGACAAGTTCTAGGTTTAAAAGGTGTCTCTCTTCCACCAGAATTTAGCTGTTGAACAACTGGCAAGAAACATGGAGAAAATTCTGTAGCTAGTTGGAAGACCACTTACTTAGATATTTATTATATTTATTATTCATCCTTTTTTGAAAATGCCAACAAAAAGCAGGTTTTAGGGAGAAGAGGGAACAAAGGGCACTTCTGTGAAAACACAGCAGTGTAGTCCCAGGCAGCTTTTCTGTTCCTGAGCTGGACTCTTGTCTGCAGCAAGAGCCTGGACACAGGAACAATCTGAAAGTGTAGTTAATGCCTCAGTGCAGTTATGGGGTGGATGCACAAGGTAATGACCTTGGCTGATTTGATTTGTAAGGGTAACAGCAACTATGAATGAAATCTATCTTCTTTGTGTTTCTCTCTTTCCTCTGCTGCCAACTTCTTGAGTGTTTGAGAGATTTTTATGTTAAAGCCTTCAGAACAAAGACTGCCTCCAGGATTCTGTTTTCACATGGCAAAAATATAAATAATGTGCTAATAACCTATATAATTGCTGACAACTATGAATCATGATTAAAACTGTGCAAGGCTGATGCCTGGCTCCAGACTCTAAAGGATTTTTACCTTTCCATCCTCAGTGATGCAGTTGTGTTGTGCTAATGTTTATATTGCTAATGTCCACATGGCTTTTCCACTAAGTGTGGTGGGAGAAAAGAACATTAGAGT